AGCGGCGGCCGCAGCGGCAGCCGCCTCTCCGCCACCGGGACGCCGAGGCGCGGCTGGCGGCGCTGACATCCACGGCCCTGCCTCTCCTCCCTCGCCCCCGGCCCTCCCCATGTGATCGGTCTTAATCCCGACCGTGTGCGCGCGTGGGGGCTCCATTGCGCGGCGCCCGGTGTCGGTGCCGGGGTGGGTGCTCGCGTGCGCTTCTCCTCCCCATCCCCCGCCCCGTCCCCAAGAATAAAAGAAGAACCGGGAGGCGTGCTCAGAAAATAAATAAATAACCAGCACACACGCGCAGCCCGGAGCGAGGCGGCGGGGCTGGCGGCGGCGGAGGAGGAGTGAAGGCGGCGGCGGCGGAGGAGGGACGCGCGGAGCCGGCAGTAACTTTCGAGCCAGCCCAGAGCCCGGAGCTCCAGCCGAGCGGTTTGCAGCGCGGCGGCGGCGGCGCTGAGTGTCTGGCCCGCCGGTGCGGTCGGGGTGTGCAGTCGGACGGGACGAGCAGCGCGTCGCTGTCCCCCCCTCCCGGCGGCTGGAGATGTCCGAGCCCAAGGCGATTGATCCCAAGTTGTCGACAACCGACAGGGTGGTGAAAGGTAAGCGCAGCGCCGCGGCGGCCCGGGGTGCACCGAGTGCCGCAGGCGCCCGGCCGCCCCTCCCCCGCCCCGGTTGTCCCTCTCCAGCTCGCGCCGGGGACCTTCTAGGATCTCCTGCAAGCGGCGATCCCCCTCCTCCGCCGCGCCCTGCCCCCACACCGCCCACCCGGCCTCAATAGGGGCATTTTTTTTTTTTTTTTTTTTTCTTTTTTTTTTTTTTTTTTTTGGTGGACGGGGGGCAGCAGTTGGCAAATGGCTGAGCGCCTGGGAGGCGGTGGCGGGGGTGGCGGTGGCGGGAGGGGGCGCCCGGGGAGGGGGGTGACTGCTGGCAGGGTGTAGCTGCTGTGACAGAAATAGGAAGTGGGTGGCTGCTCGCGGGCTTGCATGGGATCGGGTTTATGGTTTGCTCTTTGTAGAGGGAGGGGAGGTGATTTATGGCTTTTAAAAAATTAATAGGGCATTTTTTATGTGGCCGTGGCTTGCCGCGGACTGGCTCGCCCGGGCACGGTGCTCCAGGCGCTCCATTGCAGCAGTTCCCGGGGCGCCCCCTCCCCCTCCGCGGGAAGGGCCTGCACAGGACTCGCGAGAGAGCGGGAGAGCGTGGGGGGAGCCCAGCTCCGGCTGCCGCGCGCCGCGGGGGCGGGGGGCCGCGGGGCGGCGTGGGGGCAGCGCCAGGCGGCGGACGACCCGAGCCACCCCCACCGCCCCGGGATTTCCCTGCAGGCCCGGAGCGACGCGAGCGGTGGCGGTCCTCCGCCGACCTCCCTTGTCACCCATGGCTGGCTGCCGCCGACCTGTCATTGCTCTTAAAGGGTTCCCTGCTGGTGCACGCCTCTAGGGTGGGAAGCTCACCCTGCTCCCTTCCCCCAGGCTCCTGACACCCCCTTGGTAACGGGCTATTTGATTCTCTTATTGCCAAGGATGACATGTATTGTGTACAACTGGCAGAGATGGCTCTCGGTTGCTGGCTAGGAGAAGCCTTGGGGATGCTTGGGGTGAGGAAGGGGACAACGTGGTTGCCCTTTCTATACTCCTGCGGAGAAGGGATCCCACCATCCTCACTGTATTACAATATGGAATGGGGGAGGAACCGAAGATCCGCAAGGATTAAATAGTGTCACTTATTCTTGGGGTCAGGGTACTGAGCAAAGCCAAGATGGGCACCAGCCTGTGCAGAGTATGCCTCTGAAACTGGAAGCAGCGATGGTGTGTGTGTGTGTGTGTGTGTGTGTGTGTGTGTGTGTTATATGAACAGAGATGGTGTCTTATGCAGCCAGAGCATTCAGTTAGAGTGCAAAGCAATCAAGTCATTTGCTCCAGGAACACTTAGGTGAAAGTAACCCGGCACCCAAAGACCACGGTACATAGTCGATACATAGTCTCTGGAGTCTTAGGAAAGGATCCCTGCTATCTTTCACATTTGCTCGGCTTTTAGGTTTTTAAAGTTGTGTGTGTGTTTTATGTTCTCTTTTATGAGAGAATAAAAGATCTTCTCTCCTTTTGGTTATATTGGTATCATTCCTACTTCAAAGTAGGATTCATAGTCAAAATAAAGAGGGGATAGATCTGCAAAAAAAAAAAAAAAATAGAGCTACAGAGGCAGAACTATCTTTTCTGCAGGCATGGATCCTTATGTAAACACTCGATGCAAATCCATTCCAAAGAACTGTGTTGTATTAAAGGCTTCTGTTGGCTTAAAAATTAAGACCTTTTGAGTAAAATACCAGAGAATGACCAACATCTGTGTACTGTGTGAAATTTAGGTGTAACTCCAATTAAAAGATAACTTGTTTTCTAAACAATTAAGGTAATAGTTTACAATTCACATGATACTTTGTGTTGGTAGTGGAAAAAAAAGTACTGTGTACATGTAATGTCACATTCTGTGTTTTAAGTCTCAAAATGTGGCTTTTTCAAATGGGAATTTAGATTGACATTGTCATAAACTTAAACTAATTGCTCATCCATTCTTGATGTGCTTATCAGTTAATATGGCAGAGCCAGTGCTCACCCTGTTCATAGCTCTTTTGCCGAATGTTTCAGTGTTGTGTTATTATACATGACTTCTCCCATTAGTACGTAGGCACACCCATCACTCCAAAATTTTGATTTATGTATTTTTGCAGAAGTGAATTATAAATGTGGGCTGTAGATCCAAAATAGGAAACGTTAATCTCCTGCCTGTTTTGATGGGGATCCTACTGGAAGATTTTGTTTATAGAAAAATATTATTGATGACTCCTGAGTTTAAGGTGGGCACACTGCCATGGCTTTGGTTCTTTTATGCTTTCTTGCACATTTTATGTCATTGGCTTCAAAGTCCTGACATAAGGTTCTGGTGAACATTTTGTCATTCATAAGATTTTTCAGGATTAGTATTTTGAGATGATAATCCATTTTGATCCTCCTTGAATATTATATACATGTTTAACAAGCAGAAAGCAACACGTATGCTGACTGGGAAAAATAATAGAATTATTTTTTATATTAAAAATATACATAATACATATTAGGCAAAAACATGATTTACTCCAGATTTTCTGAGAACCTCCTGTCATTTGTCATTCTTGAAATCATTCCTTAACACAGGAAATGGTTTATCTTTGAGGAGCTGTCTTTGCTCTTGAGGCCTTGTTTCCTTTTATAAAGTGCATCTGTAGCTCTGTTTGATACATATATTCAGATCAATCCTTTGGCATGCCATGGCTTTTTTACAGTTATCTTTATTGCTATGATATGGCTTTTGCTGGATGACAAATTGCTGTTTACAATGACTCTGTGCTTGTGGTTTTGTTTATAGTGTATGATGACAGCTTTCTACAGCTCTCTTGATTTGTGCTTCTAGAATGCAACTTTAGAAAGGTAGGTTGAGTTTTGAGTCTTAGTGTCAACTGTGGTAGTGTTGAGGCTTGTTGAATCTGCTACAGCATGTGCAGAACCTTTAAACTTCAAGAATGAAAGAGGAATGGTGGCTGGAGAGATGACTAGCATTCACTTACTTTACCTCCAGAAAAAAAGTGACCTCAACTAGCAAATCTACTTCTGGTTTATTTGACTGTCCTTAAATTTAATAACAGATATAAAGTTGTTAGGTTTCAGAGAAAACATTTTGGCAGGCTGTTTGTTAGGAACCAGTGTAATTTGATCCATTTACTTATTTATATTTTTGGAGCATACCCACTGTTCATTTTGAGAAAGACTGTATATAGGTTGAAGGCTTACTCGAAACTCAAGGAACTCTTGCTGCAGTCTTCAGAGTGGGATTCCAGAAGTGTTTCCCCATGCCTGGCTCACATTATATCTTAAAGATACTGAATAGTGTAATCAGTAGAAGACTGCAGTCAATAACGTAACTAGCTCTCCTCCCCACCCCTAGTGTACCCTGTGTTCTGGGTCCTCTGCAGTCTACTCAAAAAGTTACTGCAGCTTTGCTTTCTGGTCACTTTCCTCTGTCCTCTCTGTAACGTTCCTGTGTGGCTGTAAAGTTTTGCTCTGTGACAGTTAAAAGTATGTGATGTCCAGTTTATGGCAGTATTCTGGCTCTGGACAATTCGTTTCTCATCTTCACAGATTTTATAATGGGCCTTTTACCTTATCCCAAACTGATTATAATAATAGACATTTCAGAGTCTGGCAGGCTGTCAAGGGGTAGATTCCTGGGAAGAGTCCTCTAGGTTGTGCTCTGTTCTCTTCTGCAGATGTTTGCTTTTGCTTTTGGGGAGATAGCTGTTCTGCCTTCTGTCACCTTTGAACTCTTCGTCAGGTGCAAGTACAGAAATTCTGGGAAGACATCTCAGATCATCCAAGCAAGAGTGTGCAGGAGTCAAGTAATTACTGTTACTCAGTGATGGCCAACTGCTTGCCATCAATATCTGCAGCTGAGAAATAATGTTTTGACTATTTAAAAAGAAAACAAGAATCCGATACTTCACTCAGGACCATTGTATTTGCATATGGAAACAAAGTAGCAAATTACACTGTTGGGGGCTATCAAGAAGAACTCTTTTCAAATTTATTTTACTTACATTGTAACTAATTAACTAATAAATTAATTTGCCATCAGTTTATTTGTTTCATTTGTCTGGCCTTCCTTTGGAGTATAGTATAATTAATTGAAATTCATTATCATTAAACATCAACATTTGGTGGATAAAGTTTACGTCAGTGCTGGCTCTTAAGAAAGGCATTTGCTAGTAGAGCTAATACCAGAAATGACATAGTTCTGACATGGATGATATACTTGAGTGAACACAAATGAATGCTGCTAATTATAAATTAGGTTAATGTATTCAGTAATATTTACTTTCAGGATTTCTTAAAAGTAAATGTAACACAAATTCAATGTGCTCAAAACAGTTTGTTGGAGACTGAGATTTTGGGAAAGACCAGTGGTTTTAAATGTTATCACCTTTTAGAAGAACTAAGGGCAATGTTGTTTGTTGTTATTATTGTTTAAAAGCACAGACACAGATTCTTGCTTAATAGACACTGTAATTTAAAGATAGCCAGGAAAAGGTAACAACCTAGCTGCCTTAGAATCTAGTTAATGAGATTTATGCTGACATTGATGTTCAGTAAAAATATGCCATTTTGAATCAGTTTCTTCTTCATGACCTGTTTAAAATGGTAATTATAGAGACGCAAAAGTATGACTTGGATGCCCTGCAGTCAACTTTGACAGTTGTCCTCATATGGTATCCCTTATCTTTTTGTGCCACCGAGTAAAGTTGAAACTAATTATAAAGCCAAATACAGGGTCCGTTTGGAGTGTTGTTGTTAGGGGATGGTGCTGTTCCCATTCCAGCCTTTAGTGAGTCTAGTTCACCATTGTGAAGGCTTTGTGAGAATGTGCTGGAACTTTAGGAATTGTGAAGGTAGGCAAAGAATGACTCAGCGGTACATTTTATGATCATTAAAAAATAATTGTGTCCGAGTTTCAGCAATTTGCTGGTACAGAAATCACTTGATATTTAAGAGGGATACGATGAGATCTTGAATTC